AACTATCAGTGTTAAAAGCTTAACGTTTCCTTACTTTGATGTCTTCCACGAACGATGGAAACCCTCCGATGGACATGAAAGTGAGGAATCCACCAACGTAAGACATGCAAGCGGCTCTTGCCTGGCAAGACGAAAAGGTTTCCAGGAGTTCATAAGTTGAAAGATGAAAAACTTATGTTGGAGACTTACTGAGATGGAGCCGTAGTCAGTGCCGATTCTAAAGTAGAGTGTACCAATTCCGATGTTGAGGATGACGTAAATGGCGAGACGAAGCCAATAGTATCCCATGTCACGCGTCATGTTTTTGAAAGATCGCAGGGTCAGCGTCGCAGCCTGCATGAAGAAGCTGGCGTGACTTCCTGTCGACTGGAGAACCACGCCTTTCTGGAAGCGAAGACAGCAAAAGTGTTAGCACTTGATCGAGAAAACACGAGCGTTGACAAAAACAGGCATTTATCTTTTCCTGGTGTTGCTTACAGTTTGGGACACCTCGTGGACTTTGGCCGCCATCATCATCGCGTACCCAGACGATTGGAAGGCCTCGACGAGGATGGCAATGACTTTGCTTGTGGAGACCCTGTCGAGAGGATCAGCGTACTCTAGATCCTGGAAAGATTGGAATCATAAGTTTTGGTGAGAGCTTTGGTCGATAAGTGATAAACCTTGAGTTTGAGTGCTCCTCTGAGAGTTGCCTGGACCCTGTCAAAGTCAGCGTTCACGGCCCGCAAGTAGTGGTCGGATGGATTCCGGAGCTCTGGACAAGGAAAACCGGCATCTGCGAAGAACTGAGATAAGAACAAAAAATGAGGTCAGCGGTCAGCTTTCCAGAAAAAAGAACTGTGTAAGTCCACCTCTCGAGCTCCATATCCATTGCCAAAGTAGATCAATTTTCCCTGAGAGAGCAAGCACAGATTGTCGAAGAGCTCGAAGACTTCGCTGCTGGGCTGGTGAATGGAAGCAATCACCGTCCGGCCATCTCGTGCCAGATTCTTGAGAGTTTGCGTCACGAAAAACGCTGAAGCACTGCACAAAGTTCAAGAAAAGATCATAGTGATTGCTAAATCTTAACAATCGAGAGAAGTTGAACTGTTGACATGAACTTACCTGTCCAATCCACTGGTTGGCTCGTCCAGAAAGAGCAGGCGAGGGCGAGTAAGAATCTCCAGCGCGATGCTCACCCTTCGCTTCTCTCCGCCGCTCAGTCCCCTCAAGTGCCAGTTCCCAATCGCCGTGTCGGCCGATTCCTGGAGCCCCATCTCCACAATGGTGCTCTCCACGATCGCCCTCTTCTTGCTCGCCGGCATTCGATCGGGAAGCCGCAGGTTTGCCGAGAAGGCGATGGTTTCTCGCACCGTGAGCGTTCCAATGAGAGTATCATCTTGTGTAACATACGCCTAAGAGAGAGGAAAGAAAAAACTCTTAGTAATCGTAGTAAGTTTTCTTTTGGAAGAACAAGAAAGTGTTCTTCCACCACCATACCGCTACTCCATAAGAGAGCTGCTTCTTTCGACCATTGAGAAAGATCTCTCCCGTGAGAGTGGTGTTCTTAGCGAGTCTGCCTGTCGATCGATCGCAAGAGAAAAAATCAAATAAGATCCTTCTTTGGAAGAACTTACCGGCAAGAGTATCGAGGAGCGTCGACTTGCCCGATCCCGACGGCCCCATGATCGCGGTGATATTCCCCGGCTCGGCATAGCCGGAGAGGCGGTGGAGCAGCACCTGGACATCGCCCCGGGCATTACTTGCCGTCACAAACAAATCCCTCCACGCCAGCCTCGCCGACACATCCATCGCCTCCGGCACAATCCCACCATCGCCGCCGCCGCCGCCAGGGATCGTCTTCCACAGCGCGTGGCTCAGCGGGCTCAAACCCCCTACTGCCACATTGCTCGATCGCGCAACGCAAGAATCCATGCCGATCGGTGGCCCGGTCGATCGCGCGCCTTGATTATGCGTGGATCGCTCGATATTTCGACCGATCCTAGCGCTAGCGCTGCTGGGCGGCGATCGTCCCATCCATGGAGAAGGGAATGACAAGAAAGAAGCCTCGAGAAGAGGGAGACCTTGCGCTAACTAAACTACCTCGCCCATAAGTCCCGGGGTTTAGTGGTTTGGCATGTCACGTCCATCCAATCAAGGCTATAACATGGCGGCGCTCAAGGGAGGACGTGTAAGAATGTTCTTCACTCTGGTTTTTTACCGGCTTACTTTGATTTTTCTACCTGGAACTTTGACCCGGGGTTTAATTCAGGGTTTTGGACGGACATTAGGTTTCTCTTGAGATAAATAATTTTTTTTCCCTTTGCTTCTCGCAAGAACCCTAAGCGCCGGGAGACGACGGCGCCTCGCCGCGGGATGAGCAATGGACGATTTCAGTGATTTCGAGGCCGACGGTGGATTCAAGCGCAAGCGCCTGCTCGTAGGAGATACTGTCGAGGTGAGTGACGATCTTCCGGCTTCCTTGCTGCAGTGCTGTGCTCCGTCTGTGCTTGGTCGAGGCGAACCCTGCGAATTCTCGCAGATCACTGCTTCCTTGTGTCTTGCTGTGCTCGATTGCTGCTGCCCGATTTACATTTTTCTTTTCCTTTTGCTCAGCTCCTTGTCTTGGAGCTACGGGCTTCTACAATTGCTGTGAGTTTTAAGCAAGAGGACTAATGTGATCTTGGCTTCCAGGTCTTGCAAGTTCTCGAGACATTGCGAGGTGCTTGGGTCCCGGCCGAGGTGGTACAAGTGAGGCCAGGACGCCGTGTTGTGAGGTACGAGGACAATGCCGAAGACTTAGAGTCCATTCCAATCTCCGAGTGCATAGATGGCGAAGACGTGGTGCCACCCCACAAGCGAGTCCGCTTGCGTATCAGGCCAGTGCCGCAGGCCCTCTCTTCCACCATCTCGCTGTGGAAGAAGGGGACTTATGTGGATGCGTTCCACAGGGAGGCATGGTGGGAGGCAATTCTTCTGCAAGACACGTCCGGCCACGACTCAACGGTGCTCACCAGAGTTTTCTCTCCGCCGGAAGGGTTTGAGCTCCAGGTGCCGCTGGGAAGGCTCAGGATCTCGCAAGAGTGGGACGAGTGGACAAACTCTTGGTATGTCCGGGGTCAGATGGATCACAGGCTTGAGAAGTGCACGGTGGTGAGGAAGGAGGCCGATCTCGAGGAGAATGTTTCGGTTGCTTCGAAGAGGAAAATGTTGCTTGCTACTGGCTCCATCCAGGCTGCCGACACGCCGCCCAAGCATCCCGTGGTTGTGGAGTCACACCTCGTCCAAGCGATGCCGATGCCGATCCCGATCCCGATCCAGAGGAAGAAGTTTACCATGGCTCCAAGGATAAGTTGCCGCTCAAAGTCCACCTCCGATGATGAGGAGGATTTTTCGGAGGAAAGCGAAGGCAGCAGGGACAGTGATGCTGTTACCCCGGTGTCTCGGAGCAGGAACGCATCGAAAGCTTCAACGGACAGCATAAAAGGCATTCTGATGAACTCGGGATGGGTGCTCAACTCCAAACTTCGTCCCGGGACGCAGAGGAAGGATACGTTCTATCTGTCGCCGGAGGGCAAGTGTTACAGAACACTCCCTGCGGCATGCAAGGAATGGAGTCGGACGCATCCCCTGTGCAAAAGGACTTCGCAGCTCGAGCTCCTGATGCACGACAAGGCGAAGAAGTGTTCTGACAGCTTTGAATTGCCTGTGGATGACAACGGCAAGCCAAAGAAAAGAAAGGTGACGCTGGACACACCAGACAGCGTGAAGAGGAGAAAGCACGAGCTGATGGGTGCGTCCGAAAATCTGAGACCAAATAGCGTATCGAAAATGAAGGACAAGAACCTCCGTGCCCGGATGGAGATTGTTCTTCACGACGTGACCAAGTACGAGGCGAAACGAACTATCTTATCCTGGTTATTAGAGACGAAGATGCTTCACGAGTTTCAGAAGGTTTCGTATGTGGACAAGAAGACTAGACAAGTCCTGCTGGAGGGGATTGTGAGGTTCGAAGGCATCGTCTGCTCTTGCTGCAAGAAGCTGTGGAGCCTTTCCGGTTTTGAAGCTCATTCTGGGACTAGTCAGCGACGAGCTTGTGCGAGCATCTTCAATAACAAAGGGGAGTCACTTTTGGATCTACAGGTGCAGGCATGGGAATTGCTGGACTCAAAAGTAAACCCGAAGGAAAACGTCAAGGCAGCTCCTTCTGATGAGAACGATGATGCCTGTGGCGTCTGTGGCGATGGAGGACGGCTTATTTGCTGCGATCATTGTCCATCCACTTATCATTTAAGCTGCTTGCTGCTTAAGGTATGACGACTCTCTAGACGCTGTTTTTTTTTTCTCATTCACTTGTTTTGGTGCAGGAACTCCCTGAAGGCGAATGGTTCTGTCCTAGTTGTCGGTGTGCGATATGTGGAGGCAGCGAGTACAACGCAGATGGAAGTTCTTTCAACGAAATGACCGTTCTTCTCTGTGATCAATGTGAACGTGAATGTAAGTGCTTTCAAATTCTACTGGGTTCGATTGACAGTATACTTGTTTCAGACCATGTTTCTTGCTTATATTCAAGAGGCATGGCAAAAATGACCAGCTGCCCGGATGATTCTTGGTTTTGTGGGGATCACTGTGACAAGGTGAAGCTACACAATCATGCTTTCAACTGACGAAACTATCATTTTCTACCAGATCTTTCAAGGACTTCGTAAGCTTGTGGGCATTTCCAACAACATTGGAGAAGGACTCTCCTGGACGCTGCTGCGGTCCGGTGAAGACGATCTACCGTCAGCCAATAGCATGAACCGGGAGCAAATGGCTGAACACCGAAGTAAGCTTGCTGTTGCACTTGGCGTCATGCAAGAATGTTTTTTGCCCATGGTGGATCCTCGGACAAAGATTGACCTTGTCACTCACATACTTTACAACCGGGGGTATACTTAATCTTGCATGCTTGTATTGTGTCTTGTACTCAAGATTGTTTTTTTTTTTTTCTTTTCTGCAGCAAGGCCGAGGTTAATCGCTTAAATTTTCGAGGATTTTACACTGTTGTCTTGGAAAAAGACGACGAAGTTATTTCCGTCGCTTCAATTCGGTGAGTCTCGTGTATTCTGGGCTAAGGAACCTCACGATTGGTTTGCAGGATACATGGAGGACTCCTCGCAGAAATGCCCCTCATCGGAACAAGATTTCATCATCGAAGGCAAGGCATGTGTCGTCGCTTGGTGCGGGCAATCGAGGGGGTAATCTGTGCTGCTTTCCCAGAGTTTTGTCGCTGACATCAATTTTCCAGCTCCTACAAAGGCTGGGAATCCGAAGTTTCGTGCTACCGGCTGTACCAGAGCTTCTTCACACTTGGAAAAACGCCTTTGGATTCCAGGAGATGGCCCCAACCCAAAGGCTTGAGCTTGTGAAGCTGAGTGTTGTATCCTTTCCCGGGGTGACTTTGTTGCAAAAGCCACTACAGTCCTCAGGTAAACTTTTGATGCACTTCTGCTCTTTTGCCGACCATAAACTATTTGCAGAGCTTCCCGATATCGATGTGGACTGGCTCACGCAAGGAGAATTCGATCCTGTTGATACTTCTTATCTGTAAGGCTACTTCTAATAGTTTGAAATCGATTGATAGTCTTTACCTGCGCAGAAAACCGGAGCAAGATAAACTTTTGGCTGTTACTGTATGTAAAGAATCTATGGCATGCACTTCAGTCGCGGACGATCCTGCTCCTCTAGCAGTGCTTCCTCGCAAGCTTGTCATTGGCGGGGATGCTTCTCTGATCGCGGGCCTCCAGACGGTGGACAGCGGCGTTACATTGTTGTCCAGCTTTGTCAAGAACTTTGGCAAGGATAGCTTTGGAGCAAAATTGCCTGTCAAGCTGAATGATTCTGGTAAGCTTCTTCTTCGTCTTCCAGTTTGCTGATAAGCTGTTTTGTTTTTTTGTTTTCCAAGTAGGAGATAAGAAGAGTTCACTCCAGCTGACGCTCTCATCGAAGGATTGTGTTTATGTGCCGCTGGATGAGCCGCCGCAAGCATTGTGGACGTGGGAAGAGCCTGTGGACACTCGCATTTTTTGATAGACAATCAGAGCGAAAAAAAAATTCTCTCCAGTTGTGGTGATGCCCGAAAGCTGGGAAACTAACGAGCAAAGCTTGAGATTGAGAAAATCCGCAGGTGGTAGCTTTGGAAACTTCCCTGTACAAAACCATTCAAAATTCTTACAATGTGGACCCATCGCATTAATTTATTGGGTTCCAATCTTACATATGAGCTTAAAGAATATGAGTAGTAGTCTCAATTCGTAGAATACAACGATATCATGCTCTTCTTCTTTTTCTATTTGAATAACTGCATCAAGGAGTGCTGCCACGATCTTATTCTTGTTGATTTGTAATTGTATGGATCCACCCTTGCGATCTTATTCAGTTCATCCCGGGTCTTACTCATTAGCACTACCTTAATCTTGTTAGCCATTGGGCCGTGGAATCTTGTTCAGCTCGTCTTGGGTCTTACTGATTAGCCCTTTCATTATCTTATTCTTGTTGCTGTAATTGCATGGATCCAAGCCATTGGTCTGTGCAATCTCGTTCAACTCATATCGGGTCTTCCTAACTAGCTTTTTAGCTTTACTTTCTGTTAGCCACCTTTCATTCACAATCTCCTCCACTGTTCCTTTAGAAGCTTCAGCACCTCCTTGGATGGAACTCTGTTTGCAAACGCGTGATCCATGCTCACCATGCAGCTCCTGTGCTCGAGCTGATGTAGAAAAAAACAGATTTGTCCGCAAGTTCGAATCCCACTCTCAACACTCGCTCATTTTTCTTTATTTGAATTATTGGAACGTTGAAGGAATGCATGCTAGGGTTTATTGGGGATTTTCCAGCAGCCATGGTGGCGCAGCGATCCAAGGCTCCAGTTCCGGCAGCGCCAAGTATGTTTCGCACTGCTATGGTAATCTTAGTTCTTCTGTTTTGTTTCGTTTGTGCAAAAAGGCAAACGCTTGTCCATCGCGAAAAAAAGTGGAAACGTGAAGAACAAAGCATCAGTGCCGACTAGTGCAGTCAAGACACGGAGAAACAAGAATGCTGATCCACCTGGTTAGTGAAAAGAAAGAATTTATTTAATTTTTTTCAAAAGCCCATTGCGTAGAACTGGAGCCGAGAAAAGCATCATCCAGGGGCAAGAAAGCTGTGGAGAATAAAGCGGACAACAGCGATCAAGGTCCCACGAGCAAACGGGGATGCAAGAAAGCGAAAAAACACCCGGAAGAAAAATCATCGCATCCAGGAGAAAATCACAGAAAAAATGTGAAGTCTACAGCCTTGAAACGGGTCCCGAGCCGAGACTTGGAGGTATACCAGGCTTTTCTTTTTAGTTTCTTTATGGTGTAGTTCTCTCCAGATCGAGCTTTGGAAAACCGGATTCCATCGCGTTATAGGCGTGGATGAAGCAGGAAGAGGACCCCTCGCTGGTCCTGTCGTTGCTGCTGCTTGCATCATTCCGGAGGACGTCGATATCCAAGGTGCGTAGCTTTTTGTCTCTCAGGAATGATCATTTATCTCCCTCTTACTTCCCCCAGGTATCGATGATAGCAAGAAGCTCACAGCCGAGAAGCGAGAGCAGCTTTACTCGCAAATCACATCCACTCCGGGGGTCCGTTTCTCGGTGAGAGCCTGCCTCTTTATCATCCCAAAAACTTTGGACTGACCGGGAGGAGCTTGTCTATGTGTAAGATTTGTGTCGTGGATGCGCCGAGGATCGACGAGATCAACATCCTTCAGGTAAGTACAACAGCGTTTCTTTTTTCTTTCTTTGCTAGTGCAATTGGAAGGCGTTTTCAGGCGACAATGGAAGCCATGGAAACTTGCGTGGAAGAACTTACAGGGAACGGACGTGATCATCCGCCATACATACTGATTGATGGAAACAGGATTCCAGGCGGTCTCTCTGGAAAACACGCGAGGAGTGTGGTCAAGGTAATCGTCGTTCTTCGTCAGATGCGAATGTCCTCTTTACACTTGTTGGTTTGTTCGCAGGGCGACGCCGAAAGCCATGTCATCGCCGCTGCGTCCATTTTGGCAAAGGTGACGAGGGACCGGCTCATGGAGGATTACGACAAGTATGGTGGTGCTTGCTTACCTCTGACTCTCTTTTTATTTTTATTTTGCCTTTGGTCGTAGGAGATGGCCGCTTTACGGATTCAAAGACCATAAAGGCTATGGGACTGCGTCACACACGGCGGCATTGCTGAAACACGGCCCTTGTGACATCCATAGACGCTCTTTCGCACCCTTGAGAAATCAGATTCTCGATATGTAAACAGGCAGCTCAAAAAGCTCGGGCGTTTCGCCCGCATTTTTAAGTCAAGAGTATACAAAAACAAATTTTCGCCGGCAGACTTCCACCAGTGTTCAGTCGAGTCAAGAAAAACAGTCATGGATGATCGATAAAACTCGAGGAACAAAACTAGCGAGCAAATGGACATGTAGGTAAGAGAGCTGAAAAAGTTTGCAGGAACAAACTGAAAAAGGACAGTACCTGGCGAAAGCTTGCAATGTGAAGTCTAAAACCCCGAGTCTTGGATCGGCAGACCGGCTCATCAGCTGAACGCTGACTTTTCTCTCGAATCTCACTGTCCGGTTGCAAAGATCTCGGCTTTTAGAACCTGGAAGTAAAAGAGAGATATTTAGAGACATGCCAATAGGACTCCAGACTGTCTACCTGAAAAATCTGTGGTCAAGGTAACTGCAAATGTCAGCAATTGCTTACACGTCTCGGTGCAAGGTGGTATATGTAATAGCAAGGCCCGGTTGATGGCATATCTCGAGTGCTGACGTCTTCTTCTGCTGGCTATCCTGTACCGCATCACACACGGCCCCTGAAAACTCAAATTGTCAGCAAGTATGTAAATGACGCTATGTGAGGAAAAGAAGTCGTCACCTTGGAAAAATCTATGGTCTTGCTCGTGGGTGAGTCATGCGCGAGCTAGTGGCAGAAAGGCTGCTCGAGCATTAGAGCTTATAAGGTCTTGATTGTTTGGCTCCTGTCGTAAGTAGGCCTGTTTGCAATGGCGAGCGTCTGTAGAGGCTCGCTTAACTCGGGGAAAATGCTTTTCAAGAGAAAACGCCACTTGATAGTTATAAGCGTCCATCTGCACGCCCCAATCATATGATTCTCAATGCAAATGAAGAGCAATGCATAATTACCCCTTGGTGGGAGTACGTTCCCATTTCCAGCTGCTCACGAGATCAGGCCAAAGCGAGAAATTATCTAGCGTTTGCCCTTTGATTGCATCCATGACCTGTGCAAAATAGACTAGGAGTAAGAACGATGTTTGCGGAAACATATTGATCACCTCGTCAGTTTGAATGACATTGCTGTTGTATAGTATTTCTCTGAAATCTGCATCATCGATGGATTTGACCTGTAACAAAAAAAAAGAAGAACATGCGTGGACACGCTTATGACCTGCTCACCTTGACAGACAAACCGAGGACATCACCAGCTTTAGACTCGTAGACGGCAGCATTGCCAGTGGAGTTTAGAACCTACAACCAAACAAACACAGTCAACGTATTATTAAGTTGGTGTAAACTCCTTACCAGTTCCACTAGCATGTTTGAAGATTGCGACCCGGGAATAGCTGCGTTCTCAAACGTGACTTCTCCTGACTGGCTCTCGATTTTAAAATAATGCACGGCCGCTTGAAACAATCCACCCATAGTTCCCCCCACTTGCAATTGGCCGTGCGCCTACAAGTTACGGTTAAGTTTGGATGATCATATGCTCTAAGCATATCTTACCTTGTTGTTAACAAGTAGCTCCACTTGAAAAGTCGCGAGCTTGCTAAGGGGGTTGATTGTTGCATCGTTCTGCTTAGCACGTAACAAGAACTCTTTGATCTGCACAAAGAAGTGAGACAAAGAACAAAGAACGAAGGTCGACTTACTTTAGCTTGGGCTTGTAATCGTTTCGACGCTTCCACCTTGTTGTCTAGATCACATCCTGCAAACCCAATGCCATTAGTTGACGTCAAAGCTCAACGCCATTGTATCCTCACCTCCAAGTCTTAATATTTCTTTCTTGGCAAGCTCGACCCTTTCGCTCCACTTCTTCTCCGAGTTCTTTAGAACGCTTTCCTGTAGCTTGAATCTTTCCCTGAGATCGCCGATTTCTCCTGACATCGCTTTAACTTTCTCCCCGACAGACGCCTTGAGTTCTATCGATCTGTCCTTGATAAAAATCAACCTCCCGCAAGTGTCGTGATTAGAACCAGCCTCTTTGAATGGTGTTCCTCCAAGGTCGTGTTCGATTGACTGGAGTGCTGCACATAACTCTGTTAAGAGAGGATCCAATTGTGATGCCTGGACTGATAGACTTTGTGCTCTAACGAGAGCCTTGTCCTTCGTGTCCTTTGACGAAAGAAGCTCCTGTTTTATCTTGTCGAGAAGAGCGATATCATCAGACAGCGATCCACCAAAACTTTTCCCGAGTTCCGCAGGAAATAGAGACTGAATCGCTTTCAGATTTTGTCTGATAGTATCCAAGTGCTTTCCAGTAGACTGAGATAACCCCTTGTCGTCGGATCCCCTCTTCTCGGCCTCCGCCAACTTGTTAGCTATCCCGTCCAACTTGGCAACCATTGAGTCCCGTTCCTTCGCCATTCCGTCGAGCTTAGCAACCACTGCGTCCCGTTCTTTCACCATTCCGTCCAGCTTGGTAAGTATCGAGTCCCGTTCCTTCGACATTCCGTCGAGCTTGGCAGCCACTGTGTCCCGTTCCTTCGACATTCCGTCCAGCTTGGTAACCATTGAGTCCCGTTCCTTAGTCATTCCGTCCAGCTTGGTAGCCATGGAGTCTCGCTCCTTCTTCAAATCCAGGACTTTTGGAACTAAAGTCGATAGTGCAGCAGCTACCTGTCCCAGTTCAGCTACTCCTTTTGCTGCCTTGGCGCTGCCAACCTCTCCAAAGATCGGTTGTAGTTTCAGTATCGACGTCTGAAGAGCACCACATGCATCACTGACTTGTTTCAAGGTGGAATCTAGCTGACTGTCTTTCTTCTGACCCATGGCATTCAGCTCGCTTTCTGCAGCCTTTAATTTACTGCTGGCTGTCTCGCTATCCATCTTCAGTTGTACTACCTTCGCAATGATAATAGGAAGCTCGGCCACTGCATCTGTTCCTTTCTCTGTTTTCTGAAAGATGGCCAGTAACTCCAACAGGTGGCCATGTCCTTTCTTTAGCTTGGATTCCAGGCGAGTCTTCTCGGTGACAAGAGCCTCAAAACATCCCACGATACTTCCAACTTCCTTCTGCTCGTCGAAACCTGAGGTTTTAGTCACTGCAGCTCCAGCAGTTCGCAGAAGGGTGCCATAACTACCGTCTTGCAATGAAGAACTCAGCTTGACAAACAGATCTTGCAGTTGATGAAGCTGTTTGCCGACAGCAGCTTTTTCTTTCTCAACGTGTAAAAGCGCATCTCCAAGTTTATCCTTTTCGAGTTTCAACCTCCTCTGCTTGTTCGTAAGGTCGTCCAAAGTTCTTTCCAGTTCTCGTGCCTTTGAAGCGTTCTTTGTTACGGCCACTTCGACGGAAGATTTTTCTTTTTGTAGCATCTAAACACAGCACAAGATTAAATGCTTTCATCGAGGTACAGACAATTACCTGCAGTGATTCCAGTCTCCTTCGAACTTGCTCCCTGATCACTACTAAGTTAGCTGAAAGAACGTCCACTTTCGGATCTGCCCTTTCAAGTCCAAGATCCTCCCTCAATTGCGCAGTCACAGAGCCGCATTTCTCGTGCTCGTACTGTAGAGAGCTTGAAAGTTTTCCCGCAGTATCGGCCTTCAAAAGTGAAAATAGAACGATCAGATTTTGGCCCTTCAAAACTTTCAACTCACCTTGGAAACGAGCAGCTGAATCATCTCTTGAACTTTGTTAAATCCAGCGGCAATTTCGTCCTGAGACTTCTCTCCGGACAGCGCACTGAGGTCAACACCTTTTAGCAGTGTCGCGCTGGCTAATGTACGATCCAATCCATTCAACTTATGAGAGACTTCTTCGAGTGCTTTCAAAGCATTCTACAAAGTTTCACGGTTAGACATTATGGATACTGAGATGTGTAAGAAAATCTTACGAGAGCAGAGTCTCGAAATTTAAATGATTCTTCGGCTCCTTTGCGTAGAGACTTCGCCTCTTCTTGCAAAGAAGTGAATTCCTTTTCTCTTGATTTCGTATCTTTCAACTGGAAGGTATACATTTTTAATGGTTCTAGTACATTGGCATACGTACCAGGTCATCAAGATCTACTCGTATCCGCAGTATCTTCGCTGCTGTTTTAATCCCCTCTGTCTTTCTAACTGGACTTGACCGAGAATCTGGCAAGTAGCATGCACTCTATGAGTTCCACTTCGTACTTGATACGGTAATCTACCTATCCTTTGTGTAAAATAGTCCGGAAGATAAAACGTATCGAGCGGTTCGTCAATGCTTTTCAAAATCTCAGTCATGTCATTCTGGAGCACGTCCAAAGCCGATTCTTTTCTGACATTATCATGTCGCAAATCCAAAATCTGAAAGCCACGAGGTAATGGTGTGAAACAAAAAGAAAAAGAAAAAAAATAAAAAATCTGCAGACCTTTCGTTTGCTTTCCTCCGTAAAAGCTGCAAGCCTTTTCTCCGAGATCTCGACTTGAGCTCTCATGTAGGCCATATCCTTCTCATAGGCCTGCAAAGACAACATTGTAAAACTCCAAAACGATCGGAAACATTCAAAACAAACCTTACTGTTGTACTGCAGCTGATGCTTGTACTGCCTGACTTTTCTCTTTTGATTTTCCAGAAGTACTTCTCTCTCATCGGAAAGAACTTCGAGTGCTGATACCCTGACTACACGTGAAACAAACGCTAAGCGTGAGAAGACACACAGAGGAAAAAAACTTACCTTGCTCTCAAGCGACTGATCAGCTCGTTACTTCGTTCCAATTCCGAGTGATACTGCTTCTGCTCCAACTGCATCGCGGACTCGGCCTTTCTAGCCATCCTCCGGTAGAACTCCACACCACCATAATTCTCAGCATATCTAGAGGTCACAAATAAGTAGCTAGCGACACGAAAATTTTACTTACATGTGATACTGCGTGGCATCCAAAACACCTTGCTTGACCTTCTGCGACAGAGCTGATCGCTCGTTCTGCCTCGAGTAAGTCTTAATGTAAGGAAGCGACGACTGCGATCGAGCAAAATGATCAAGAACCTGGCCAGACAGCAGGGCGATCGATAGCACAGACCGTAGCAGGAGGCGCAAATATCGATTCCGCTGCTGGATCTTCGCCATCGGATCCAACTTCCGTGGCGAGGCCGAGTGATGTGTGCGCTCGCCGGCTCGGCACGCCGCGCCTCCGCATCGACATCTCCCAGCTCGAGAGGAAATATTTCAGATATGTGCCCTAGAGTTTGCCCAGGCAGAATAGAGAGATGAGAAGGGACAGTGGCAACAAGCTCCACGGCCAATCCCAGCCGCACGATTTAGATGTTTAACATTTTTAAGTTTAAACCCTCCGAGAAGATGGGACGAGCTTGAACGGAGAAGCTCTGGGAACCGTGACCCCGAACGCTTCGGTCATGTCCATCTCCTCCCCGCTCGCCAATTTCCAATCGAAAACATGGATCAAGTTCGCCAGGATGAACATCACAGTGGTCATTCCCAAAGTCACGCCTGGGCAGCCCCTCCTTCCGGATCCGAAGGGCAAGTACTCGAAGCTCTGGCCTCTCACGTCCATTCCCTGGCACTTCTCGAGAAATCTCTCGGGATCAAACTTGAGAGGCTCGTCCCACCACCGCGGATCCCTCGCGATCGCATACGCATTGACGATCACTCGAGTTTTCGCGGGGATGGTGTAGTTCTCCAGCACGCAAGCCTCTGTGGATTCGTGTGGGAGGAGCAGTGGCCCGGCGGGATGGAGGCGGAGTGTCTCTTTGACGACTGCTTGGAGGTACCGGAGCTTTGGAAGATCGCTCTCGTCCAGCATGGCTTTGTCCCCGACCATTTCCGTGAGTTCTTCTTGGGCACGGCGAAGCAGCGCTGGATCGTTCACAAGCTCGGATAGAGCCCACTCCACTGTCACAGCGGTAGTATCAGTTCCTGCCGCGAGGATGTCCTGCGTGACGCTTGGATCATCGGCTAGAAACAAGAATAACGAAAACTTTAGCGTACCTGGCTGAGTGATTTGATGGAAGTGTCGCTCAGTTCCTCCATAGCCAGCATCACGTCGAGGAAATCTCCGTTGCTGCCTGGCTGCTGGCGATGCTCGGCGATCTGCTTACACAAGTACGCGTCCTGCTGCTGGTGGATCCTCTCCATCTTCCTCGCCTGCGGGTCGACCCATGCCAACCACGAGAAGGAATCGCTGAGACAACTCGTCCCGACCACAAACGCTTCCGTGAGCAAGTCCTTGAATCTCACCGCCGCCTCCTTCTCGGCCGAGGTTCCCGTCAAGTAGCTCTTGTTCATCAGCACCTTCGTCATGATGTTGAAGGTGAGATCCGAGAGCTTCGTCGTCAAATCCACCGCCTCGAGCTGCTTGTCCGACTGCTGGTGGCGAGAGAGTTCGTCCAGCACGAACGCCATCTCGCGCTTCCGAACGGGATGGGACGTCTCCACGCGCTTGGCAGTGAGGAGCTCCAGCGTACACAGCTTCCTGACGGTCCTCCAGTGTTCTCCATAAGGTGCCCAAACCAGGCCAGCGCCTCCATAGCCGAAGATCTTGCCAGCGACAGTGGAAGGCCTGGACGAGAAGACGTGGTCGTGTGTCTTGAGCACCTCTCGAGCAGCCTCGGCGGAGGAGATGACAAGCGTCCTGTGGCTTCCGAGCTTGAGGAGCATCACGTCTCCATACCTCGAGGCGAGCTTTTGCAAGGACTGGTGGGGGAGCTTGCCGAGAAGATGGAGATGGCCCAGGAGTGGAACTGCCCGTGGCGATGGCGGCAAGCTTAAACTTTTGCTGCTGCTCTTGCTCGAGAAGATCATACATCCGAGCTTGAAAACCAGTGCCTTGAGAAATGCCAGTGCCAACCGGAGAAACTCCATAACTTTCCCAGATCCCCAGTGACTTAGAACTATAAGAAGATTCCAGAGTGTCCTCTTCGATAAGTCGGAACGAAAGCCTACGAACAAGAATGTGGTGGTCCAGCTGTCCAATAGTTACTCCGGCCACGCGAGCCATCGATTCATCCAAGAAAAATCGCATTTTGATCCGTCCTGAGAGGAAGCTTGTCACTGTTTGTAAGAGTGGAGGTCCGCCTTCTCGTAGATGTTTGAGAGAAGAACATAGGCGGCACCGTGCCGCGCGTCCAGCTTCACGGCATTGTCAGCGGCATTTCTTCCAAGCTCGACCATGCTCTTCTCGCAGCCATGGCTCGACGCCGAGCACGCCGCCGCGAGCAAGCGCCTCCACTCGACGAGCTCCGGGAGGAACGGCATGTTGGCGACGAGATCCCGCGCGTCACTCAGGTGTCCCGCGCGGCACAGCACGTCCGCCACGCACGAGTAGCTCTGCCTCGTCGGCGTCACGCCGTGATCCATCACCATGGACACAAAGCATCTCTTCCCGCGATCAAACACGCCGCCGTAGCTGCATCCCACCATGACGCACACGAAGGTGGCCTCGTCCGGCTGGAGCCCCTCGCGTTGCATCTCGTGGAACAGCTCCAGCGCGTCGCGCGGCTCGCCCTTTTGCGAGCACGCCGCGATGATCGCGTTCCACGAGATGGAGTCGCGGGCTGGGATGCTGTGAAAGACTTCTTTCGCGTGCTTGAGGAGGCCCTTGTGAGCGTAGGCCGAGAGGAGAGTGTTCCACGCCGCGGTATCCCACTGTGGCATCGCGTAGAACAGGCTCAAGGCCTCGCCAAGCTCGCCGCTCCGAGCATACGCCGAGATCATGGCGGACACCGGGACGACGCTGAGCTCCGGCATTCTTGCAAGAAGATCCCGAGCTTCGTCCACAAGGTCGTGCTGCGCGTATGCAGTGAGCATGGCTGACCACGAAACCAAGCTCCAACACGGCATTGTGTCAAACAAGTGCTTACACTGCTCTATCATCCCCGCTCGGGCATACGCGGTGAGCACCACGGTCCAAGAGATCACGTGTCGCTCCGGCATTCTCTCGTAGAGTTCTCTCGTCTCCTTTAGAGATCCATACTGCGCACACCCGGCCAGCATTGAGTTCCACGCAAAATGGTTTTTTTCCTTCATCTCGTGGAAGATCTTCCTGGCCTTGTCGAGCTCCCCGGCTTGAATGTACACGTCCAGCATCGCAGTCCACGAAACGGTGTCCCACTCGGGCATGGACGCGAAGACCAGCTCGGCCTTGCGAGAGAGGCCGTTTTGTGAGAGGCCGGCAAGCAGCGCGGTCCATGAGATCACGTCTCGCTCGGCCATCCCGTGGAACAAGTGTTCGGCCTTTTCCAAATGCCCGTTCTGGGCATATGCAGTGATCATGGCATTTAAGCAAGCAACGTCGTGCTCGGGCATGCAGTTAAACAACGCACTTGCTTTCTCAAGACTACTCTTGTGAGAAAATCCGACCACCATTACCGTCCAGGTGATCAGATTTTTCTCGGCCATGGTCATAAACAAAAGTTGAGCATCATACAAATGCCCGTTTTGGGCAAATGCTGCAAGCATAGTGTTGAGTGCCATAAGATCCCACCGCGGCATTCGATCAAAGACATCCTTCGCGGCCTGCCAGCCCCCAGCTTTGCAATACGCAGTGAGCATTGCGTTCCACGACTCGGGATTTCTCTCGGGCATTGTATCGAAGAACTTCTTGGCGAGATCGAGATGCCCGTTTCTTGCGTAGGCCGATTGCATCAAGGCCCAGGAGAACGCGTTCTTGTGGGGAATGGAGTCGAATATGATGCGCGCTTGCTGGACACTGCCGCATCGACTATACATTTGGATGAGCGTGTTGGAGAGAAAGAGAGAATTGTGAGACGAGGGCGAGAGAAGACGAGAGGGAATTCTCGAGTGGACGCTCTTGGCTTGAGGGAGACTCTTGCAGGATTTTATGAGAGTGATATAGTCCTGGAAAGTGGCTTCCATGGAGCACCCATGTAGAACGCTTCACATAATAGTACATTACACTGATATTATCAGTGCTTCATGCTTAAAACTTGACGAACAACGCTTCCTTGGAAAAGCTTCTCAGCCTGAAAGAAAATCCACAGCAAAAGCTTTAACGTAGAAAAAGACAGGGAAAGATTTATTCACTTACTTGCTTTGCACTGAGTCCAATTTTTTGAAGATCTCTAAGCTGGAATACACAATGTTAATCGTTGAGCGATGAGAAAAAATGTTACACACTTACTTGGTTGAAAGGAGCTTCACAATTAGCTTCACGGAGCTTCAATATAGCATCTGCACGCTTCTTTCCAACACCCTGTACATTAATCAAATTATTTTCCTCGTCAAGAAATAAAGGATGTACCTTGAGTGATAGCAAATCTTCTGTAGTTCCAGTGTTGAGAATATCAAGGTATTCTTTCAAAAGAGCTCCCTGCGAAAGCAAGCACCACCAAATCGATACGAAACTAATCAGAAGAACTCATATTCTCACCTGTAAATCGCGACTGTTGTTGGTAAATCGTTCAACAGCAGTCCAGCCACAATTTGAGATTTGTTGAACATCGTCATATCTCGGTGTACAAGGTTCCAAGCTTGTTTGAGGAGTGAAGTTGATTGGTAGAGGTGTCAGTGCTTCTCTCAGAGAGCTCCCGAGGTTCCGAAGCATTGAGCTCAAGGGCGGGGAATTGGAGGGAACAAAAGTTTTTTCTTGTGGTGTACATTGCATATCGTCTTCCTGACTTGTGATGCTCGTCAACTCTGTACACACTGTTGAGTAGATAAATAAATAGCCAGCAGCGAATACCTTGACGAACGTTTGCTTCTTTCGCAAAGGGAGAGCACGAATTTGTTTCTAATGACGAGCACACTTCCTCTGCCTCCTCTGGCTTTTCTTTAGGATCAGTGTTGGTTTCCTGCCCATTCTCTAGTGCTGGCACGTCCTGCAGAGAAACATGATTCGTTATGCGGGATATTACACATTAAACTTACTTCAACAATTGAGAAGATTGCTGACTCACGGTAGGATGTCTCGGTCCTGGAACTATTAAACTCGTCAGAAAGAAAACAAAAATTAACCATATCATTCCGTACCTAGAACAAGAAGAAGACCCAGCTTGAACTCTTTTCAATGTGAGCCGCTGTCCAAACCGAGAAGGAGACTTGCTCGAAGGCTTATTCTGCACCGGGCTTGAAAGTTTCAAGGGAGAGTTGACAAGAGATTTCCTTGCAGGTTTAAATTTTGAATCTGTGTCGACTGGCGATTCAATACTGTCAGGATTTGCAATCTGCCTTGATCTTACTGCCAGACGCAACGTCTGTGCCGCTTCCATGTAAGACCCAGGACTCTGTCGCAAGAAACATTCTTAGCATAAACTTGTGATACAATAGAATCACATACCAGGCAAGCAATCATTAGCGCGCAACTCGTTCCACCTAGGGAATCCTGTAAAATGCGAGTTAGCTTGCTGTCTCGATATGGCACCCTCTTTTCGTTCGCATTCAAAGCGTTGATCACGTTCGATAAAACGAAGAGCGATTGATTGATCCTGCCGCTTTCAACAAGGCGAATGCCATCAGTACCTGACCGTCGCGTGTCCTCGTTTCCTACAAACAAAATAAGTATTCAAGAAAGAACCTTGAAGAAAATAGCATCAACGAACCTGCAAGATCTATGAGGCTCAGCTTTCCAACCAACGGCAAAGTCGTGTTTTCTTCGTCAGTGTTTGTCACAGTCACCACCAACACACTGTGACTGCGGCTGGAAGCGGCGTTTAGTCCGGTGACACCAATCTTTCGGTTCGAGCAACCTCTTGCAAACAGATCTTGAAATTCTTTCAACGATTTTACTTGAACCTGCAAATGTAGAAAAGGCGAATATTGTCACAAAAACGAAATTTGTAGAAAACTTCTGCACCTGAGCAAGCCCCCGAAGCTGGATATTACCATCACTGTCTTCTAGAATAGGTAGTTCACCCGACTTTGGCTCCAGGAGATCGTAGCAACGCTCCATGTAAAGCTCGTAGTAGGAAAGCTCGATTTTGCATTTAGCATCACGCTCGGCCAAGGACAGGATATGCATCAGTCCCAGAACCATGAGACCGGGATTTTGTTCTTCTCCCTGAAAAGCATCCAGTTAGCGCAAAGAAAAGATTTACAAGCATGATCCACCTGCATCGTGTAGGTTTTTCCGCTTCCAGTAGCTCCATAGGCAAAGACTGTGGCATTGCAACCACAAAAGAGCAGCGGTATCACTGGTTCCACCTCGGCTTTGAAAATTTCGGCGAGATCATCCGACTCTCCATAGCAGCAATCCAGCTTGAAAGATTCAATTTGACTGCTAGTAGAATGAATTCAGTCAGTCGGGGAGGAAATGGAGAGAATCACTTACGTGGTTTTCTCGTCACAGATCTCGATGGTGTCCTCGCTCTTGCGGACGCATTGATTCCTCTCGGCCTCGTCCAAACAGAAAGGGCGTAGTCTAGACACAACACGAACCTTGGAGCGCCGGGGCTTCATTGGCGATGCCGTGACGGGCGTCTTCCTCATGGGCGAGATCACTCCAAGGCGCGATCGCCGCGGCGTAGAGACTCGAGGGCTCAGCATTGCTGCTAGGGAGCTTCAACCTAAAGCCCAAATCTCTCAGAGACGTTGGAAGAAATAGCCACGTCAGGCACTTGCGTGGCATTATTTTGAAAATCCCGCCATGCTAATGTTGTAAGCCCTAGCGACGAGGACCATGTAAGCCCTAGCGGTGAGGAGCGCCTTCGAATGTATGGAAGGATTTTACGCGGCAGAGCAGGATTCCCGAGATTTTGAGCAGCGATCACAGGTTAGAGTGATTTGATTCGACTCAATCGCAGACAGCCTTGGTACTTGCCGATGCGGTCTACTTGAAGGTCGAAACTCTCAAGGTATGTTCCTGGATCCTGGAACTCGTAGTTTTTTTCACTAGATTCTTAGTCGCGAAGCAGCTTAAGAAAAATGCGAGAAGCTTGGAAGAATAGAGAGAGAACGTTTATAGCACACAATCTTATTGATCCAAGGTTGCCTTTTGCTTCTTGTCTAACGCGTGATACTTGTGAATGCAGACTCGATGTCGAGATCCGTGAGCTTCGAGCCAAGGCTGCTACTAAGTCCCCAAGCTACAAGTCTACTCGGGTTTCTCGCTGGAAACACTTACTAGCGATTCAAGGTATGAGTCTCGACTACGCAACCATCATTTAATCTCCTGCTCTTTGTTGACCGGAACAGAAACTGAACCATCATCTTCGATTCCGTCAGGCTGACCAATTTTCAGCTTGGTGGTCTGTTTTCGTTCCTGTAGCTGGCTGAGCCTCGAACTTGAAGCTTTTGAATCCTTTTGAGTCTTCTGGTACGTCGCTCGTACACTCTGGCTGGGGAGTAACCACAGCTAGAGAAGCTGAGTGTCCCTCCTCTTCCTCAGAACTTTCTGATGAGGTGTCCTTTGAACTTTCAGAATCTGGAGATTCATCTTCTTCCATATTGTCAAAAGTAACCACCGATTTCTTTCCTTGATTCGTCGACTGTTCATCTTTGCTTCCTTTTTCCGGCTCGGATTCTTCTGCTACTTTAGCCGCAGCACCTGCCTCCTCTTTCTCGACAATACCTGTTCCGTCAACTCCTTTACCTCCTGCTGTTTTGTCCAGCTCTGGAACATTTTCCCCTGCTTTGTCAAGAGCTTCGTTTACCAGTTTTGAGACTGTGTCAGCTGCTGCGTCTAGAACGTCCTCGACAACTGCAGAAGCAGTTGATTCCTCTAGAATGTCCTCCACCAGCTTTGAAAGAGTTTCGGGTGCGTCACCTGTTTCTAACGAGGGGCCCGTTTCCGTGCTTTCCCAGCTTTCAGAGACTATCAAAGGCGACTCGGCGTCGTCTGTCTTGAAAATTCGATTTGGACCAGGTTGCCATTCAGGTACTGCTTTCTTGCTTGTAAGGACGAACTTGTACTCGTATTGTTCTCCGACAGGCAGATCCTAGATCATATCATCAGGCTGTCAGCTGCTCCGCAATTCACCCCACAAACTCACTACGACTTACTATTTGGCACTTCCAGACGTGATCTTCGGACCAGTCCATAGAAACACCCGCTGCTGGATCCCATGCTCCCAGTAAAGGGCTCGCACCAACAACAGCAAACCGCTCGCCATAGTCGCATTTTTTTTGCAACATAAAGGTCGTGGTGACCATCGGCATCACTTCTTCTACAAGGACAGGTCAGGACGTCATTAAACAGTTTCTAGCTCTCCGATAACTCACCCGACTCTTCGACAGCGGCATCATCCGATTCCTACAGTGATTGACGACAGCAGCACTATCAGAACGGAGATTTCGCAAAGGCTGAAACTTACGGAAGCAGTAGTGAGGACGAGGCGAGCAGCCCGTGGGGCTAGCACTCTAGCAGCTTTCCGGTGCCGTAAGATTCTTCGCTCGAAGCATGAGCATTGCAAAAACCCCTGGCGAGAGTCCCTCGAGCCAGAGACGGCACCTCCGACTAACTGCTGCCACACTAGAGGGCGGTGGGAGACACCCAATGCTGCTGCGAATTTCTCCATTCCCGATCCAGGTACTTGGCCGCTCTCCTGTTTCTTACCTGGGATTCCCGACTTTGTGATAGAACGCAATCTGATGGTCACTGTTTTTCTGGCTTAACGCTGGAGTTACATTACTACGACAAGTGTCCCGGCAATGAATTCACACCGTAGACGGAAGTGGGGGACAGCGCCACCCGTGAAAGTTTCGCCTGTAACACATGAATGAAATGCATCTTCAAAGGTAGGTGAGAAAAGATTCACTCTTTCTTGGTTAGTGGAAGGGCTGCTAGGACATTTGCTACAAACACTAGAGAATCTATTGATACTCATCCACTAACGCGGTTGATTTGATTGGCAGCACTCCACTGTCAAGTATGAACCGTATAAAATCGTACCCTCCACTATCTTAGCCGAAATCCATGGAAGAAATATTTTAGTCAAGCTTTCCAAAAGAGCAAACAGTTCATTCGCCAGCAATTTAAAGGTACGATGATTACATTTCATTTTTGTACTCAGCAAGGGAAGAAAAATGTCTCACAGATCGAATTGCTCCGGCATGGCTGCCTCGTCCGACGATGTCGTAAACGATCCGTGCCCGGTGCTGCAGTCTCCACTTCCATACTTGCTGGCCGGTCTCGTCGCGATGGTCGTTCTCGTCACGATCGCCTTGACGATACTCGCGTGGCCTCATCTCAGGCGCTACTACAGCTCCTCTCCCGCTGCTGCTACTGCTGCTGCTATGGAAGATCATTGCGACTGTGCAAAGCCACCGCCGACGATGAAGTATGATGAAAGTACCACAAGCTCCGAGAGGATCGTGGTGATAATGGCGGGCCAAAGCAAGCCAACACATATGGCTACTATTACCAGTTAAGTGCTTTCATCTTTCGTTTCGCCCGTCCCGCGAAGCTAGAGCTTTACAAACACAGCGGGCTTGGCATTTACTACGAGCAAGACTAGAAAGCGGCTTCTTTAAGTTTTCAGCAGCTCTTAGCACTCTGAGATTCATCACCACGACAACTTGCAGAGAAAGAAAACGTGGAAAGGATCAAGAGGCAGTGGTGACACCAGGAAATCCATGGCATACAGGGAAACGTTGAGATATTTTATGCGAACTGGCTTCCACAGTTCACTTACCGTAGTACTGGACCGTGTCGTGAAGAAAGTGGCGGAAGATTAATCAAAAACAAGACGCGGAACTTGCTCGACGTCTAGAGTCCGCTCAAACAGAGCAGTATGAGCCATCGAATCCTTTCCTGGTTAGCTCTAGATCGAGGCTGGTAGTGGCTGATGTCCGATTGGCAAAGGAGGAACTGACGTAAAGAGGATAGAATACACCAAAACGCTTGTTTGATTATATCATGTGAGATCCATCCCATCTTTTGATTGAGAAAGAAGTTTGATAGATCGAACTAAAGCAGTCTTTTACCGGTAGATCTTTCGCTGATAGCTTGCAAGGATCTCAGAAGATTAAGACAGGAAAGAAAAAAAAAAAAAAAACAGAAGTTTCACGAGGCTGTGGCCACTCTGGTGGCCCTGGTTCCCACAATCTTGCAAACCGGCCACCGGGGATCCATGGCATACACCACGAGTCCGGGGGTGACGTTGAGATCCTTGATGCGAACCGACTGCCCGGCCTCCAGATTGCTCAAGTCCACCTCGATATACTTTGGGATCAAGTCGGGAGCACCGTAGTACTGGACCGTTCTCCTGATCGTGTTGAGATATCCACCTGGGAAGAGAGAAGAGGAAGAAGATCAGAATCGGCCAAGAGAAAAAAAAAACAAGGAAGAAGAAGCGAAGAGGATCCATCACCTTTGCGAATTCCCGGGCAGACATCGGCTCCGATGAACACCAGCGGTATGTCCACTCGCAGCCTCGCGTGAGGAGGAGCTCTAATGAAAGTCGCGTTGAGGACCTTGTCCGAAACAGCGTGTACGTGGATCTGGAAAGAACAAACCAAAACAATCGAGTGAGACAGCAACCAAGAGCAAAGCACACGCAAAGACGATGAAGGAATGAATACCTACAAGACGAGGAAGAACTCTCTCCCGGGAGATGAGCTCTCCTTCCTTGGGATCCGGCTCGGTGCGCAGCTCCAGCGTGTAGAGCCGGCTCATGAAGAAGCTCTGGCCGAATTTCTTGAGCAGCAGGTTGAGCTTGTTGGAGTTGAGAACGAGGAGCTGCTTGTGGCCGCCCTGGTGCCCGTCCTCCTGGCTACACACAATGCCGGGGATGATGCCCTTGTTCCTCATCTTCATACACGCCCGCGTCCCGGATTCCACCCGCGGCGCCGCGTAGAGCACATCCAGCACTGCCTCCTGGGGGACGGGTACCTTTGCCAGCGGCGGAGCTGCCGATTCCTCCTCCGCCGCCAGCGCCGCTGTGGATTCGGAGTACCACCGGGTGATCGCCGCCCATCTCCGCGCAATACACTCGCGCCTCCCCTGCGATCGCCATAGCGCTCGCATTTCCTCACCTCATCAACCCTAAAACCCAACGGTGAAGATGGACGGCTAAGATTAACTCATAAAACAAAGCAATATGCTTATAACGTCTCGGGTTTTAGGGCTCTAGAGGATGTTGGACATTAAGTTGCTGCGGGACGATCCGGCGCTTGTCAAGGAATCGCAGCGGCGCCGTTTCCAACCTGAATCGGATGTCGATGATGTAATCGACCTGGATCGTCAATGGCGAACTGGTAAGCTGTTCCTCTCAAAACTTTCAGAGGTTTTACACTCTTTTTCCTAAAGCGCAATTCAACCTCGAGAAAAAGTCCGCCGATATCAACAAGATTGAGAAGGAGATCGCAAAACTTCTCCGGGTGAGTGCCTTTTCCTTGATCGAGTGCCGAACGACGCTGACTTTGGCTAGATCAGACAAACGGGGACTCCGCAAATCTGCTGGCGGAGAAGGGCGCCCTGGAGAATGAACATACTGAGCTAAAGCTGCGAGCTTCAAAGTTAAAGCTGGAGCTGGATTCCAAGTTGAAGTCTTTGGGCAACCTCGTGCACGATTCTGTGCCTGTCAGCTCAAACGAGGTAAGTTATAATTGTGTTATACTTGTAGAACAATAGTTCTCTCGACTGTCTTGTGATATTTGCAGAAGGACAAGGTGGTTGTCACGAAATGGGGTGTACCTCGACAAGATCAAGAGGCTCTGGAAAATCATGTCAGTTTGTGTAAAAAGCTCGATGCGGTTGATGTTGAGCGGGGTAAGTTCGCGGAATTTATTTTGTCAAGTGGCGATCTCGAGCTGATGTTTAAGCTCTGTTTCTAGGTGCTGCGGTGGCAGGCCATCGAGGCTATTATCTGTTGGACCCGGGGTTTGAGCTGAACATGGCGCTCGTTAACTTTGGGTTGAAGTTTCTGAAAGATCGTGGCTACAGAAAGATTCAGACGCCTACTTTAATGGACAAGGCTGTGATGAAATGCTGCGCACAGCTCTCCCAGTTCGACGAGGAGCTCTATGAAGTATGTTTGTTTCGAAACTTGCATAGCTGGTTGTTAAAGCGTTTGTGCGTTTGTGCAGCTCGCAGGGGAGGGGAAATATCTCATAGCCACTTCGGAACAGGCTCTCTGCGGCTATTTGAAGGATAAAAACGTGGCTCCAGAAAGTCTCCCCCTCCGGTATGTGGATATGTACTGTCTTTGGACTTGGACCGCTTCTTGAACGGTTTTGCAATGCAGATATGCTGGTTATTCTTCCTGCTTCCGTAAAGAAGCCGGAAGCCATGGCAAGGATACGCTGGGCATTTTCCGGGTTCACGAGTTTCAAAAGGTCGAGCAATTCTGTGTAACTGCTCCAGAGACATCCTGGGACATGCTAGAGGAGATGATAAAAACTTCTGAAGATTTCTACCAACAGGTACCAGAATTAAGAAGCTTCATGCGTTGGGACTTTGTGTATAAGCATCCTTTGCTCTTTTGCAGCTGGGCTTACCTTACCAGGTTGTCAACGTTGTGTCTGGGGAGCTGAATGATGCTGCAGCGAAGAAGTATGATTTGGAGGCGTGGTTTCCTGCCGCGGGGAAATATGAGGAGCTGGTGTCCTGTTCCAACTGCACAGATTATCAAGCGAGGAGCCTGAATATCAAATCGGTACGCATGATTTTTGCTTGCCTATAACTCTTGTTGATTCTTTGCAGGGGAAGAAGCTTGTGCACCTCTTAAACTGCACATTGGTAGCCACTCAACGAACCATGTGCTGTATCGTCGAAAATTATCAGACTCGAAATGGGGTACGTGTGCCTGAAGTTTTGCAGCCTTTCATGGATGGGACGACATTCCTTCCATTCCCCAAGTGAAAGAACTTATGTTCACGCGTGCAAGTTCTACGTTTGAGGCCCGCGCATTAGGTTCAAGTACAATGTTTCACATCGAACAGCAAAGCGATAGAACTTGCAATGTTGGAAGAGGTAAAGTTCTCTCGATATAATTACAAACGTTTTTATAGGAAAATATTAAAATGAAAAATAAAGTTGATTCAAAATTCTTCTCGTGGAGCTTTAAGGTTGTTTACTAGGAAGTACTGAGTGGATGTGTTGGGATATTTTTATAATCCTCTTAAGTTCAAAATTTTACACACATTATACATATGTATGTATGTATCTATGTATCTATGTATATGTACGTATATCTATATATATATAACTTTTGCTTTTAAGAGCGGATTGCCTACTTGGGGATCCCTAGAATGTTCAAGTATATTCTATATTGTTCTTCAATCCATTTTCTTATAAATATAAACCCATCACCTTTCTGAACACACCTGAAATCATCCCTTTAAGAATGTTGGAGTAGGATGTGGTCATCTATCGTATATGCTCTTGGATCAACCCTTGGTTTGCTTTGAATTTATTAAAAAAGCATGATAAGAATATGAAATTTTAAGAAATTAATTACAATCAGTTATCATTTATCATAGTCCATCAAAACACAAATGTGTCTAACTTTTGGATACATGTCTCATTATAAGCACAGAGAGTTAAAGGTTTGAAACATAGGATCAATGTGTATAAGATTCTTGACAGCCACTCTTTCTCTAACCAGATCTTGATATAGCTTTTAAGCAGTGAGCATATCTAAATCATTATGTCCAAACAGAATGGCATATTTTATATTAGTTCCTTTGTTTTAAAGGCTATTAATGATGTTCTCTCAACCACAAAATTTTCCCAGGCTTGATGAAGTTTGATGTTGCTACATGCAATAGAAAAACCAGAAAAAAAATATTGTTTCTAGAGTGAGTTGAAATAATCCATGGCTTGTCATCTAAAACCAATTTCTGAGTTGCTATCCAGCATTGCATTCCAACTTACCAATCCTTTTCAGGCATTGCATCAAAGCAGATTTGCCAAGCTTCCATCCATAAATGCCATCAAACAGATCCATGACGCCATCAATATTTGTTTAATTAAGATAGCCATTTTATATACACTAAAATGGCATTTGATTTTGTCTAGGTAGAGTGAAGGCTACCATCAAAACCAATAAAAATTGCATACAAAGACACTTTATTTTTTCATGACATTGAACCAAAGAGTGATAAAGTATCTTGTATAAAAGGGGTTTATAAAGGAATAAGGTTGCCTTATAATATTTATTTAGTCAAAATTTTAAATAAATCTTGACTTTTTATTGAGTTAAAGTTTGAGTATTATTACAATATTATTTAATACTTCTCTTCACAATATTTACTAGAAAAATTATATTGCTCAGTAGCCATTCTAGTTTGCCAATTAAAAAATTATGAATAATGCATATATCAAATGAAAAATTAAGTTGATGAATTATTAATTGAAAAAAAAACCAATCATATTACAAATAGTTTTATGGTGTATGTAATCATTTATAACATATGAGATTACTTATAGTTATTAGGTATGGACTAGCTTTTCCTACTAGTTAGACTAAACCTTGTTGCTCAACCTCCATTTGTTGTTTGATGTGCCTTACTTTTTTCTTGACGTGGTGTCCATAGATAGCTCCACAAATCAAGAACACTAAAAGTTCAGCAATGGCAAGCGCCACGGCCAACTTATGCTTGATCGGTACCTCCACCTCCTTCACAAACAAGGTTTCCACATTGTTTGTTGCATCCATGTCTGTAACATATAAAAGTTGATTTAAACTGTGATCATCCTCGGCTGGCACGGAAGTATCTGATGCAGAGACTTTCAGAAAGAACAGATTCTGCCCAGATGCAATCTGGTAGCCATTATAAATCACTTGCTTTGGTCCCCTGGTTGAATCTGGACCTTTGAGAAAGCATTGACCTGAGCCGTCAGCTCTGTAGGCTATCCCAAGGCAGCCACAATTCTCTTTGCAGAGGCTCTTGCAATCTTCAAGGGATATGACTGAGATGTACGTCTTGTCATTGTAAGTATAGTCAGTTCTTTCCAAACGCACCCATCTGTTATCGGATCCATTGCAGCTTTTCAAGGGGACATTATACTCACACCCTTTGGAATGGTCACCAGGATCCACGAAGTGAAACCCTGGAGGACAAGTGCAGACGAGACCAGGCCTGTATGTGCAAATCCCGAAAGGTCCGCACATCCCAAAGACTTTGCAGTCAGCTGTCAATGCTTGCCAAACTATATCCCACGAGGAGTTATCCTGGGTAAGGCTGTAAACTCGTAGAGTTCCATTGCGTTCTAGAGTGAGTCTCCTCGCCACCTTTGAAGTCCCAAAATCCAACACGTAAAAGTACGAGTTTTGTTCCCGGTTAAAGTACCAGGGCCCTTGACCGTCGGTGAAAGTAAGAATGCCGGTCGAGTTCATCACCAACGTTGATGCGTTGTTGGAACTAGTCGGGGGTCTCTGGACATCCCAATATGATTGAGAATTGGACTCCGGAACTGCATAGCTTTTTAACCCTATAGAGTTTTGGTTGAGGTACAAACTAAAGCTCCCCGAGCGACGGATATCTTTGTTGCCTTGGATGAGTTGGCCTGTGAGCAAGGTATCGGTTGGGACATCGAAACTTTGCCAGCTGCCACTGCTTGATATGACCACAAAGTTACCATTGTCCTGTAACTCCGCACTTGCAACACTAGGAACATTTGCAATCGTTATTAGTTGGGCGCCGTCCGAGACAAATAGGCCCTGGGCAGTGAGTTGGAGGCGAGCATTAGCAGTAAAAGCAACGCTAGGTGCATCTGGTGCAGTCCAAACGATTGTCTTCAAGTTGATGTGGTGGAACCTGATCACTAAGGTGAACTTACCAGAGGCTTCATCATCGACAAATCCAAGCTCAAAAGTGTTGTCTGGCGAGACTAGGAATTGATTTACTGCGAGAACATCCCCGACTTGCAACGATGATTTGCCGTTGGCAAGCACTACCAAAGCAGCAGCCAAGAACAGCAACAGCAGCGGCATTTCTTATGTATTGCACGAAGTCACAGACTCACAGAGCCATATACTGGGGGCTCCTCTAGAATAGCTCTCGTGCCGGGCACCACATTTCTCGGCTTTTGACTTGACAAGCGCGTTATCTTAAGAAACTCATGCCCGTCAGATCGAACCAGATCTAACGGCCAAAAGCTTGCTCTAGCTGAAATGCCGGCATCTCGTACGTCAAAGGGTAGAGCACTTGTTCACAAACTGGATCATCTCTCCATACGAGTAATCCATTTCTCCCTCGACCTCTGGAAACAGCAAGAAATGGCCGCGATTTGGATACTCGACCAGCTTTGCATCCTTCCCAGCTTTCCGGAGCTCCTCGTAGTACTCCACCTGGCGGCTGTGGAGCACGTCTCGAGCTCCCACCACCACCAGCGATGGCGGCATTGGATCGATCTTGGCGATCTCCTCGGCACTTGGAACTCTGCAGTACTCGTGGTCGCGGTTGGTACCCTCCGGGAGACAGAATCGCCAGAAAGTATCGCAGTCCGCGAGCGTGAGAACGTCGGGCTGGACGAGCGACTGGATCTCGGACTTGGATCTCTCCTCGGCCCCAAAGAATGGAACCACTGGGAAGAGTCCTTTGATCTCCAGCGTCGAGAGGTCGCTGTGGATCGATCGGGCAGCCATGTAGTGGACGATTGTCCCTCCGGCGCTGCCGCCCATGAGGAAGATCCGGGAGAAATCGGCGTTTTGGAGCCAGGGGTCGCGATCCATTGGCGATTTCTTGGCCTGGGACTGAAGCCACTGGAGAGACACGAAAGAATCATCGAATGCCACCGGGAGGCGGTGCTCCGGGGCGAGCCTGTAGGCGACGGAGACGACGATCATCCCCATTTTGTGGGAGATTCCACTGCAAAGGCCATGGAAAATGCTCGAAGCAGGGGAGAAGGCGACGAATCCACCGCCATGGAAGTAGACGAGAAGCGCGTGCTTGCCAGTGGAGCTAGCATCATGGACCACGGTAGCCCATTTGGGAGCGAAGATTCGAGCCCACATTCCCGTTCCCTCGTCCAGAATCACGTCCTTGCATCCAATCTCGCCCTTTTCGAAGCTGGGATCAGCAGCGCAATCGGGCCACTGGGGCTTGCTCGTCCGGACGACTCTGCCATCGCTGTAGAGCTGGACGCCTCTCACATCGCCCAGCAGCTCGCAATTCACCATTGCCGCCCGCGCAGAACTCACAACAAGGACGAAGAATTTAAAGCCGGCGTTGGGGCCCTAATCCGTCCAAGAACCCTAAAGAACGATTTTCGGGGCGGAGCAAGAAGACGAGGCTATAGATTCCTTCATCCAAATGCACAACAGGAAACAAATTTTCGTCAATCTCTTAAAAACTTTTTTCATATGTAAGATTATGTACATATATATAAAATATATATCTATACCATGGAAAATCTCTTGCCAACAGGAGCCGTAATCCGTCCAAGAACCCTCCAACTGGACAATGCAATGGATGTAAGATGATTATTGAGGAATGGATTAAACACTAGGATTTCATACAAGACTACCAGGGGAGAAAGAAGTGAGTGAATGAACAACTCAATGTGGAAGAGGCTAGATAGTCACTGGAATGAACAATGATATCTTTTGAGTCACCACAACACTTCCATACTATAGGCCTCTCTGAATGTTGGATGATCACATCAATTAGTGTGTCCCTGCATTCCTCCATCAAGGGAAGATGGGTGCAAGGAAGTACAATCAAAGGGGAAGATGGCAAGGTCTTATGCTTGGAAGTTTAGTGCAAGGAAGTACAAATGGGGTTGGAGATATGTTGTGTACAATTGTTTCACCTTGAATTGGCATATGTACAACATGCACATTTGTTGCTCATGGTTTATCTACTAGCTGCCATGTGAAGAGGATATATGCTAGGAGGATTTGGCATGTGCTAGGATTACTTTTTAAAAGTTCATTTTGGGCTTTCACCTTACAAAAAAAAGTAATTTGATTGCATAAATTTGCACCAGAGTATAAGCTGAAGCTCCCATTAGTAGGGCAATGCTCATTCCTTCTAAGTTCCAATACTGATTGAAGAGCTTAAGATTGATCTCTACCATTAGATCTAAAGATTTTTCATAATTTTTTATTTTGTGAAGGTAGTTATAATAGAAAATTCTTATATATATGAAGCTATAGAAGAAATATGAAAGTAAAAGGAACATGTGTTACTAGTTGTTATAAATTCTATACAGTTATATTCAAAGCAAAAGAAAGGCTGAAGAGTTTTTTGTAATGTACATGCTCCTTTTTAGGCAACTATACATAACATAACTTTATCTAATAATATATATACATATATATAAAACTCATACCCCAACTACTCCAATTAATAAGTTGGTCTCTTCTCATATATGTTTGACTCAACCCTTTTCAAAATCCTAATTGAAATTAAAATATATTAAATTTAAAATTCTAATTCCAATATTTAATACCACAAAGAAATCATAATTTATGCCCACTCAAGAGAAGTTTTTATATCTAGAGTTGAATTAATCATTACAAAATAGAAATAAGAATATAAAGAGGTGATTGTATGTTATAGTGATATATAAAAGTGATAAAATAAGGAGCTGAAATTACCCTGAAACTACGTTACAATTTTTAATACAAAAATATTTAATTATTTTTTCCATAATTATTTTCATAATAAAACTAATCATAAAAAAAAATTCTTTATAAAAAAACATCTGATTTCATAAATAAAAATTTATAATTTTTATTAGCAATTTTTTACCACTGTATGATAAAATAAAAATAAATAAATAATCAAGTAGGGAAAAAATCACTCAAAAACTTACAAATTGTGATGGCTAGTGAAATGCTTCATCTTTATGGTAGTTAGATATCATCCTCACAAGCTTAAAAACCTTCAAAGGAGACAACTTTCAGACTTATAGTAGAGAAATATAATAATATAAATATTAAAAAGTAAGGAGAAGCTATTTAATTTTTTAGGATAGCCTATAGGAAATATGTTTTCTCACATGCAAAAAAATAAAACTCCATTAGAATATTGCACAACAAGAACATTTTTAGTTGATTCTCCAATTGGATACTCTTACCACTTTGAGTTACTAATAGAATAGATCTTTGAGCAATGCTTCAATTTTGAAGAGCACTTTATCTTACTTTTGATCCACCTTTTACTTTGAAAGTGTAAGAAATAAAAGTAAATTTTTTATTTGATATAATATTTAATTGGGAAGTAGTTGAAAGAGTCATTTGTGACCAAAGGTTTTTTGTGTGTTACATAGTATATTGGTACAATATAAGGGATAATTTACTTCGATTGTGTCACTAAGCTTGATTATTGACCTTGCAAGAATTTTATAATTGTTTCAAATAGATTGTCTGCCAATCCATCTTTGATGGAAATCAACTTAAAGTACTTAGCTACAAGCTCACCTACTAAGAGAGCTTCACATAAATGATGAGATGGTGTTATGACCTATTATCTATAGATCTGTAAAGTAAAATGCTATAAAAAAGACTTGCAAGGAGCTTCTTTCTAAAAACTTGATAATAGACTTTATAACCAACAACAAAAAAGACTTACAAGCCCTCACATTTGTTTAAGTTATATATCCATTATACCATGGGATATTAAGAGTCACTATGAATTTGTGAAATGAGTAATTCACTTCAAACTTCTTGATTAAATCTATGTTTCATGCAATCTGATAAGTTATCTTTATTAAGGTCATCATTCGTTGTTGCTCATAAGAGTTCATAATCTCTAAATACTGAAGTATTCGCTTATATGGTGGTACATTCCTATATTTCTTATTTCCTATTTCCTATTAACTATAATATAATTTTTAGATTTGGCATGAGTCATGATGGCTCTTTTTTGCAAGGCTCTATAGCCTCTTCTCAAAAATATTCAAGCCTCCTAAAACTATCAAGCATTCCCCTCTTTGGCTTATTCTAATACCCTAAAAGAACTATTAGCTATAATAACTGTTTAGTATCCTTTTTTATTAGACCTTCCCATTCTAGAATTAGAATGAGAACTAAACCCCAAAATGAGAGTTTAACTTTATCTTTAATTATAAGTTTAAGGTTAAAAAAGAATTTTTATTTAAAAATGAAAGTTTAAATATCTCTTGAAAGGTCATTAAATTTGAGGCATGCTTTAAGGTTATCAGGTGGCTGGTCTAATTTTTACATGCAAACTCCATTCTTGTTGTAATGGGATTGGGCTAAGAGCAGATGGATCTAGTTAGTGCCATGGCAACAAGGATGCTAGTGATACAAGGCATGGGCACTAGTGAGTGAGTGGTCTTATGTGCTCTAGAATAAAAACAAGCAGTAAACTTATACTTCCTGCCACTAACATGGCTCCACTTCTTGCAGGAATCTAGTGGGGGAATACTGGACCATAGCAACCAAGGGCTAACAGAGGTTGCTATGATCACTGCTACGTCAGCCATGTAAAAAGTTCTTCTTTTACTTCATTTGATAGTTATATTGATTTTTGCAGTTTACCAGAGATCTTCCTTGATTTCCTGTAGTTTGTTCTTTCAGGAAAGAAATACCAATGTTTTTTTGAGGTGGTAAGTTTGGCTTGAATCTAGGCTTTAGAATTAAGATGAGGATATTTTCACTAGGACACCCTAGATGGTAGCAACGCTAGAAAAAGGTTTAACAAAGTCCCTGCACTTCTGGGAAATTTCTATAACTATTTTATTTAATGTAAAGTATTAATAGGTTACTAGTTTTATAACTTTGAATTGGTGTTATTATAACAAGTTAATCAGCTGAATTAATGTATTTTTTGCTAGAAGCTGTTCTATGGCCGCGTTCTATGTGAAAGGAGCATTGGAAATTCATACAGACATACATCTTGGACACATTCTATGCTTTGGTTCACGTATAATGTTTTCGATCTGATTAACAAGCCAGAGCGGCCAAGCGAAGCAATGTTCTTCTGTGATAGAGAACCCTTTGCTGCCTATACTTTTGGAGAAACTCCGGGACCTTAAGCTCGCCACTCAGTAACTTGCGATGCAAACTCTCAGATTCGTCGTCTGCCGCATTGGCCGCCTCTGGAATGAACGAATACCCCACGTGAGCTAAGAAGTAAAACTAAATAAGTTCTCTCTCTACCTTGAAGCTTGTTTAGAATTGATGCTGGCGAGCTCCTTGCCAATATCTCTTTCTCTCGCCTTTGAGCGTCTAAAAACTTCTCCTGTGCCGTGGCCAACTCGGTCGTTCTGATGATCATACACTGCACACTGACAAAGTTTAAAAAAAAAAAAACAGATCTTTCCACGAAAGAAAGAAGCATACCTGATTTCTAAGCTCAGCCATCTCGGATTCCTTCCCCAAATTGTGTCCTGTGAAGCAAAGAAAAGAATTTTTTGTCCAACGGAGAAGAACAAAACAATCACTCACTTGCAAGGGTCACATTGCGCTTCCTCAAATCGTTCCGGAGCTGCCAAAATTCCCAGATAAGAATCCAGACAAGAAGAAAGGATAGATCGCAAACCATGCTATACCGTGTCCAATTGCTTCACCTCCTCGATCGAATGGAGGTAATTCTCGTAGGCATCTTTATCCGACAAGAGCTTCCGGAGCTCCTCGACGCTGCAAAAGAGACGGATGTAAGACTGGGCAGCGATCGGTCAATCCCCACCACTTGTCGTGGAGCATGGATTCATTCATCGACATAGAAACCCTAAATTAAGAACCCTAACCCTTGCCCAGCTTGCTATACAAGAAGGAACACACGCCCACCGCCACGGTGATCAGCCCGGCCATGGCGCTCGTGATCACGGTCCGCTTCATCTCCGGATCGACCAGCCTGGTGATCCAGTCCGGCAGGCAAGACCTCGACTCGGAATCCCGGTCGCGATATCTCGGTGGGTTTCGGAGGCTTCGCGATCGATCAAGTCGATCTTGGCGCCGGGGCGGAAGAGGCGCGAATCTCTCGTCAGGGCCGCCAATCTCGTCGGCGCATTCCGGATGGAATCGGTAGGAGCAGTCCTTGCAGATGTACATCCAGCCACTGCCCGATCGATTGCAAATCGCGCACTGGTGTGACATCTCTCCAGGCTGGGCGTTGTTGACGATCCAGATGTGGGCGCCATGGCTACCGCATTCTCCTCCTCCGAGAACCTTGGGAGCTTTCCCCTCGACCGAATCGCGCAGGAGCGCCGCGATGTGGGAATCCGTGAAGGGGAAGGCCTGCGATCCAAACTGGGAGATAATCCAGCAGCCCTGGGCGGTGATCGTTCTTCCGGACGAGGCCTCCACGATGACGAGCCGCGGGATCTTGCGGAGGTGGTTCAGGCGATCGGTCAGGGCGGTCCTCGAGGCGGCATCGGCGAATGGCAGCGCTGGCCAGGGCATCGATCGGAAGGACGCGGCGAAGGACTCTGGATCGGGATCGCTGGAGACGAAGATGATCTCCAGGTCGTCCTTGAGCTCCTTGTAGGCGGCAGCGAGCTTGGGGGTGAAGCTCTGCGCTTGGCGGCTGGAGTGAGCGGAGAAGTAGAAGCCGATGAGCTTCTGGGTGATCTCACTGAATTTCACCTGAGAGATAGCGATCGAGGTAAGCATCGTCTATCGGCAAGAACTTCTCTCGATCTATCGATTGCTTACTTCTTGGTGGATCTCGCGCTTGCTCAGCAGATTTGTAGAGCCGGGCAGGAATTTGCGATCCTTGAAAGCTCCAAATCCTTGATCCAGGAACTTCTCGCCAGCATCATCGTCACAGAGCCTCCCCTGGCGATCGAAGAGCACAAGCTTTGGGAGGTTAACAGCGCCACACTCTCGGATGATCTCGTTCCTGGCATCGACGTCCTCGTAAGGAACAGCCAGCCACGGCATTCGCTGGAAGTTCTCCTGGAAGCCATCGAGATTGGTGTCACAGGAGACGAACACCACCTCGAATTCTCGCGAGCTGTAAGCGGCGGCGAGCGAGTCCAAGAGTTTCCGGCACTGGTCGCGGAATGGGGAATCGATCGACGATGTCGCGAAGAGGAGGAGCACCGATCTTCCTCTCAGTCGAGCTACTGGTATCTATGAAAAAAACGAGAGCGGTTGATCGATCGAGGAAGGAACTGGAGCTTCCTACCTTGTCTCCATTGCTCGCGAGGAGGTAATCACGCTCTGGAGTAGTGAGCAGATCATCCAGCATCTCCTCTCTCTTCGTTGTCTAGCAAGCTCTCCACTTTTCTAGGATGGCATATGCGCTTTCAAAGCAAGGAATCTCTCGCATTTCCTCGGTGAAGATGGACGGCTAAGATTATCTCATTTTCGTTAACGTCTCAACATAGCCAGCGGCCGCGTTTCCGATTCAAGCTTTCAGAAGGTTTACGCTCTTTTCCCGGATTTGCGGAGTCCCCATTTCTGATCGAGGCAAAGTTAGCTTCTTTCGGCACTCGATCAAGGAGAAGACACTCACCCGATCTCTTTCTCAAGCCAGTGGACTTCTTCTCCTGAAAAATTCGCCTTGGCGGAGAAGGGCGCCCTGGAAAACGAGCAGAATGAGCTAAAGTTGCTAGATAAGAGCTAAAGTTGGAGCTGGATTTCAAGTTGAAAAGCTCCCGTAGAATCTGCAAGGATTCCCTCCACAAAGTCCAAATGCTCACTCGATAAGTAGCTGTATTGATATGTCTTGTAACATTTGCAGAATTGCTGCGAAGTATGTTTGTTCTGAAACTTGCATAGCAAGCGTTTGTGCGTTTATCAGCTCGCAGGGGAGAGGAAAATTCTCATAGTCACTTCGAAACAGGCTCCCTGCGGCTATCTCAAGGATAAAAATCTGGCTCCAGAAGATCCCCCTCTCTGGTGAGTACTCCCTCTCCAGCGAATACTTATAGTCTTTGGACTTCGGACTGCTTCTCACGGTTTTGCAATGCAGATATGGTGGCTTTTCAAACTGCTACCGTAAAGAAGCCGGAAGCCATGGCAAGGATATGCTGGGTATTTTCCGGGTTCACGAGTTTCGAATGGTCGAGCTGTATAACTTGAGACATCGTCGGACATGCTAGATGATAAAAACTGCTGAAGATTTCTGCGTTTCATGCTTTGCCAGATTTCAAGTTTCATGTGTTGGGAACTATCTTTTGCTCTTTTGCAGTTCAGCTTACCTTCCAGGGCTGTCAACGTTGTGTCTACGGAGCTGTGCATATTTTTTGCTTGTGTTTTCTTCCTAACTCTTGCTGATTCTCTTCAGGGAAAGAAGCTGGTGCACCTTTTAAACTGCACATTGACAGATTATCCATGTGGAAAATTATCAAACTAGTATGTGTGTTTGAGGTTTTGCAGCCTTTTATGTGTGGTACTTCCATTTGCAAGTGACAGCATTTATATTTAATATATCTCTCCTATAAGTTTTATATTTAATTTTAGATTAATGGCCAAGTGAAAAAAAATTCTTTTATGATAGACCAAAAGACTTCATTTTCAACATTAAACTACAATATAAACTCCTGAACTTATAGTTTGCAGTGATTGCTTCTGAAATATTGAGTGAGCTAACAAATAAAATAAAAAAGTTCTTTAAATATTGATGGGTTAAAAAATTAGTAAAAAGTGATTAAAATTTTTGTATCAACCAAAAACCTAAGCTCAGGGGACTCTGACCTTGAATCCAAGGCTGCATAACAAATATAAATTAGATCATACATAACATATAGTATGTGCTGGTAGTTAGAACCGCCAACCTTTCAAATGGGGGAATTCGAATTATATATCTTTATTTCCATTCATCATTTTTTTATCAATTCATAACATTCTTTCACTCATCCTTTTTCTTAGCCCTTGGAGATTGAGCCCTTTTCTCTTTTATTTTCTTACTAACAATAGATTTCCAGCGAAGAGGAGTATCCACACCTCTTCAATTTAAAAAAAATTATTTATAAAGATTAATTAGTTTTTTGCAAAAAAAATTAAAAAAAATTTACAACTAGTTTTATTTTGAAAATAAATGTAAAATATAATATATAATTGCCTTGAAACTTGATCGATGTTGAAGAGTTCCTAAATAATAGTCAAAGATTATAACACATGTAAAAATAGAAAAGAAAATAATATTTAAAAATAAAAATATAAACAACTTTTACTTTATAAGGGTGTCAAACTATTTTTTACATTAATGTAGAAATTATTTTATTTTATTTTTCTTTACTACTAAAAAAATCATTTTTATATTCAACATTAAATGGTTTGTTAAGGATGTTCTTTAACTCTTAATATAGTGAATTATTTCTATAATGCATATAGTATAACTTTTTATGTTAAGCAATCATTAATACTTCTATATCATAAATGCAATTTATAAAGAACCAACTCCCCAAAAACAAGACTAAAATGATAAAGAGTTCATCAAATGTTACCGAATCCAAGATCGAGTCAGAGATTAAGTTTGAGACCAAGTTCAAAATTGATGCTGAAACTGACTCCGAAACCAAGTTCAAGACCGAGTCCAAAACTAAATTCTAAACCAAGTCCGAAATCTGAAATTGGGTCCAAGACTAAGTCCATGACTAAGTCTAAGACTAAGACCGAGTCCAAGGTCAAGTCCGAGATTAAATTTAAGATCGAGTCCAAAACTAAGTCTAAGACTGAGGTCGAGTTTGAAATCGAGTCCAAGACTAAGTGTTAATACAAGTCATGGGGTGAAAGCCCAAAGTGTGTGTCTCTCAAAAAGGGACAGAAAAGAGTTCCAAAAGTATAGTAGGGATAGTAAAGTTTAGGAATCAGTTTTGAAGGAACTTTCTAATGATGCTTTTAAATTGACTTGAAGTTGAAATTGAGGCTTAAAAACCTTATATGGGAGTGAGTATGGACTTGGGTGGTATCGGAGGGGCCACCCAAGGAAATGCTTAAGAGCAATTCCCACTCCTAAAAGCAAAACTAATTATAATACTCCCAACTTATGTGAAATGGTGCCCCACTTGAGTACTTTGTAACTTATTAGTTCTCACTCCTTCTTAAAGCCTTGGGCTTTTCCTTTGGGATAGAAGTATGGGAATAAGGGTACCTATACTAAGCCATTAAACCACAATGTTTCCTTTTGGTGTTTTAAAACAAGTGATGCATTTAAGGTTTGGGATTTATAAGGTCTTATGATCAAATCTTGTGGTATTAAGGGACATTAAAAACTTGGAAGCTTAGTGTGATTAAGTATTTATGACTGAAGAAAGTGTAACCAAACCTTAAGTCAAATCTAACCTAGGGAAGGGGATTGAAAGGGAATTTGGGAATCCATAAATGGTTGGGTAACATTATATTACTTATATAATGAATAGTTGAAGTTAAGTAGGACCAAATAAAAATTGGTATTATAGGCGGGAACTTTGGCAAGGGAATTTAAATAAGGCTAAGGCAGTGGTGGTCAGATAAACAAAGTAAATTGACAAATTGGAAAGGAAAAATTTATGATTTACACAATCAATTATGTATAACCCAACATCATAAGTGATATTTTAAATGCCCAATATATAAATTAAAATTTTATATCTCCTAGGGATATCTTAATAACTATCTTAAACTAAACTCTAAAAAATAAATATTAAATAGTAATGGTAATTTAAATTTTATATACAATAAGTACAAAAATAAATTTATGGTTATACAATTATTTATTTATTAAAAAAACTAATATTATATATTATAAATATTATAAGTTATAACTAATACTTAAGTTAATAAAAAAATTTAGGTTTTAAATTTATTTAAAATATTAAAATTTAAAAGAAATCTATTATTATATTTAACAAGTTTTTGAATTTTTTTAGTAAACATGGTTCCTAGCTAGTTTTAAATTGATATTTAAAAGGCTTAATCTTAATCATTCACGAAATTTCTATATAGGAGGATTATAAAAAAGAATTCATACCTCATTTCATTTAATTTTTATATAAGTTAATATGTAGTTCCTACATATTACAAATAACTTGTATAGAATTACTTTTTGTTTGCTTTATTGTTCTAGTGGATATTTATAGAATATTTAGGTATATTTTAGGATATTCATCAATCCAACAGTTATGATTTTCTTCTCATAAACATTTCACTAAGTCATTTAAACCATTTTTAAGTTTTTGAAGAAGCCAAATCACTTATGCTCAATCACAACTAAATTTAGCTTCCTCCTCAACCATGAATTGAGTTAAGAAATCTAAGTTTTTGTGGATAGTACCAAGGCATAGACCACATTCATAAGGAACAACAATGCTTTGAATGTGGTGAAATTGTAATGGCCCTTCCACATTTGCTTATCCCCATCACTCTATATTTTTTTGAAGTGTGGCCGAGCATGTCCCTAAGGTGTTGCCATGAATCTGCCCTCCTCATCTTATGCACACTAAAGAAGACTGCAATTCACAGATCTCCAGCAGCCACACACTAGTGTCATCCATGAATCAAATCAACCAATTTAAAGAAACCAACCAAATCTACACAACCAAGCTCCACAACTACATAATTTCTAGGTTTATTCCCTGAGATCTCCTTAATCAAGACCATCTAGTGGCCAATCTGGTGATATGGGTGCTGCATCAATAACACCAACATAAGCCTTGAGGAGGAACTTACTCTCAGTATAGGTGTTATGAGGAAGCCTTTGAGATCTCCAAGAACACAATTCCGGAGGGGTTTGCTCCTAGGCAGAGTTGGTTTACCAAAGTTGGTTCTACTATTCATGCATATCCAAGGATTACAAGCTCCCACCTTATAAGTCTTAAAGTGCAAGGTTGAGAGTAGAATATTCCTTGAATATTTGGAGATTCTTATATAAAAACTTATATGGAGTGGAGCATGCTTTTCTCACTCATCTCTAAATGAATTTCCTTTTGTTTGGTAAAGAGTTTATAGTCTCC